AATTTTGTTCACTCAAATTCAGCTTTTCTTCGCTCAAAATAAATTTCTCCTCAAAATACAACACTTGCACCTGCAAACTCTTTTTATGTGCGCTCAGAATAGTGGCACAAAAATAACGCCATAGAATTCTGCTGTCTACAAAAAATCCTGAAGGAGAAGGTCTGTTTCTGACCTCAAGCTGAAGCACTATTCAAGCACAATGATCCAAAATACACCAGCAGGTCCACCTCTGAATGGCTTAAGAAAAACAAAATAAAGACTTTGGAGAGACCCAGTCAAAGTCCTGACGTAAATCCGATTGAGATGCTGTGGCATGACCTTAAAAAGGTGGTTCATGCTCAAAAGGCATGCCAGTTATCGTTAATGCTTGATTGTAGCTGTTGCTGCTAAGGGCGGCACCAACCAGTTAGTAGTTTTAGGAGGCAATCACTTTTTCATACAGGGCCATGTAGTTTTGTATTATTTTCCTCTTAATAATAAAAATCTTCATATAGAAACTCCATTTTGTGTTTAATTGTGCAATTGTGTTATGTTTGTCTGATTTTCAAATTTGTTCGATGATCTGAAACGTTAAAGTGTGACAAACATACAAAAAATAGGAAATCGGGAAGGGGGCCAACACTTTTTTCAATCACCATATACAGCATTTACAAAGAAGGCTAATGTTTCTAAGGCATCCTTAGTGTTCCTTGATTTACCGATTAAACTTTTCAAAATCTCAGGTGGGAGCTGTGGCTTGTGGCAATCCTCTCCCGTAAAGGTATTCCTACGGCCCTGCAGAGAGTGGGTGGCCAGCGTTTCTCTGTCAAAAAGTATCATGAGCAGGGCTGAAGTGTACTTCTTGTAGTCTGCAATTTCTGCAATGCGCTCATAAAGATTTTTTGGCACTCGAAGATTCTCTGAGAGATAGATGAAATTGTGGTCATCCTACAAAGAAAAAGAAATATCTTTTATAAAAACATTACATTTCATTGGTGTTTGATCCCAAATTAACCACTTATAAAATAACAAATTAGTGCTAGCCTGCCTGAGCTTAAAAACAATGAACATTTCAAATGAGCACCAATGACATAAAACTTCTTCTAAGATAACAAAATGTTAATGAACTGATCAATCTGCCAACTCAGTTATACAAAGAAAGTACAAAGTCTACAGCACACAGGAGCGTTGACCTCTGGTATATTATGAAGCGCTCTCATTTCTGCCTCAGGCTCAGTCAGGAAAGAGATAGTCTCATCAGAGTTTTGTGGCGCAACTGCTCCTTCGCCTCCGTGGAGAACATGATCCAGGGTGACCCGCAGTTCATGTGCCGTGTGCCTCATCTGCATCATGAGAGTGTTCATCTCTGAAAAACGTTACAAACCACTGAAGTAAATCCGACACATGGTGAAGATATTCATCAGATAAATTATTTCATTTTATGTTTACAGCATAAACTCAGACAGAAAACTAAAAAGACTGACGGGATCCAATTTTTCCTTCCGCACATGTTATCAATGCACTAGACAGTTACACAGACGAATACTCAACATTTGACATTTAAATTTTAATAAGGCCCTGTTCTTGTCATTGTTGTTAAGAAATTCCCTTAAAAGAATTATAAAATTTTTGCACTAATTGCAGTTAAAGTAGCTCAATTTAAACATAGACAAATGTTTAAAAAGTTAATGTTTTAAGTTAAAAAAAATGTAACAATTGGGTTTGCTAAATGAATGTACCACTCTAGAAAACTGTCATGTTAGTCAATTTGACTTGAACTACTGTGCACTTGACTGTGTGTAGCAGCAGTTAATTGCTGTACAGTACTTGAGCAAAAACGCTTGAGGTACCCTTCATTTCTTTATATTTTGCTAGAAAAATGGAAAACAGCTGCAATGAATTATTGAAATGTGCAAACACACATAGAAATACAGTGTATGAGGCAAAAACAGCTTCCTTCTCATTTAAGTAATCTTCAGGAAAAGTTCTCCTGGCTTCTTGAAAGAAGCTCAAAGCTCTTCTTTGGATGTTGGCTGCCTTTTGTTTCTTTCTGTTTTCTCTGTCACGCACTGCTTCAGTAATATTTGCTCTGTCAAGGCCAATCCATGACTGTGTGTTTGGAATCATTGTCAGTATAAAAAAATGAAGCTGTTGCCAATCAGAAATTTTCCAAATGGTACCTCGCTGTTCTTCTGCTCACAAAAGTTTGACTCAAAAAAAAATTCAAATTTGCCATACCCATTTCCTTCCTTACGCATGGCTTCTTGACAGCCACCCTCCAGCTGAGACTGTTTGTGATGAGGCTTCAGTGAACAGTAGATGGATCAACTGAAAGGCCAGATGCATCTCCTCAGATCTTTTCTGGCTTTTTTCCTAATTATTAAGGACATGACTTTCACATACTGTAGATATTTTTCTAACACTTCTTTTGTCCTCTGCTTATCCAGAACAAATTCTCCACAAGTTCTATAAGGACACACTTCCCACCATGTTGAGATGTACCAACTTTTAAGCTAATAGCTCTGTGAGAATTACCATGATGGTACAAAAATACAATTTTATGCCTATCAACATAAATTATCTTTGGCATATTCAGTTCATTTAACTAAAGAAATGGGAACAAATTACATGCTTTTCGCCACAGGCTGCTAGTAACAAAGATACAATTTAAAATGAACTCTTTGCTAAGTTGTCTGGAAAGTGTAGTCAAAACACTGATTCGTCTCCTCACTTGGGTGCCTTTTTATGCTTGAATGATTCATGGGTCAGTCTTAAGTGGATTAACAAAGACAAAGGATTTCCTTGGAATTGGCAAGTATAAGAACTCAACTGAAAATGAGTGAAAAAGCAACCAGTGACCAAAGAAAAACTTTGGTGAAAGAGCTTCCTGCTCTTCCACTTTTTAAAAAAAATTACAAGAAGGTCTAACTCCCAGGAAGAAAAATACAAAGAAATGCAGGATGACTCATTCGGATTTGTCCTTGTAGCATCTAAACCAGTTAGGTTTAGTTAGAGTAATGTGTGTGCTACAATAAATATTAATGTGGTCTGACAGTATTTTTAAAGGATATAAATTAACTGATTGATTGATTAGTTAATTTTTCCCACCCACCTTTGAGTTCCCTCAGCTCTCTCTCAGCCAAAATTCTGCATCTGCGTTCATATTTCAGTTGTGCCTGCAGCTGCTCTATTTTCATGAGAAGGCTGATGGTGTCTGTTCTGATTCCCGGGCTTGCAACATTGTCTTCATCAAATTCAATAGTGTCAAGCTGCCACAAGAGTTGAAAAAGAACACATAAAAAAAAAAATCCAAGTTATACACAAGTTACTTATTCTGATAATTAAACAATGAACTCTCACGTCATTGTTGGGATAAGGTGAGTAGCTGGCCTCTTCATGGAGCCTAAACTTATCCTCGCCTGAATGACAGCCAAACTCTTGTGCATCTGTAACGTTATCGATCTTTATCATCTTAATGGGTGGCTGTGCTGCAGTCGCACCTGCGTCTCTCTTGGGTGGCATGGTGGTGAACAATCTGGGAAGAGTAAAAAGCACGTTGACACACCAAGTGCTGCTGCTTTTCTGCACAGGACAAACTCAAAGTTGGAGCCAAACTTTTTTCTTTTTTTTCACTCACTCAGCGACGATCTCTGCTCGTTTTAAACTCCCCCATGCAAAAACAGAGAGACAAAAAAAAAAAGGTTTGCAGTCAACCTTGCATCCCCCTCCCGCTGTCTCATCCCCCCTCCTCCTACCTACTACTAGCCTCCAGCTGCTGGAGCCAATGAGTGATGCAAACTGCATTTCAAAACATGTTCAAATACACGTGATATTTACTGTGCGATAGTTTAGAGGAACCTCACCTCAGGTTGAGCTCAACGACAAACTGTAAACACAGTCACTGAAGACAAAGGCAGTGCAGTACATGGAAATACTGCGTAGTAGAGGAAGTAGTAATACTACTGCAGTAGTACAGTACATAGATCCTGATATAATTAGGGATTTTTTTTAACCGCCGCGCATAACATTTTCGATTAAATATGTGTGAAATACTAATCTTACGTTTACCTTCCACTGTGTGTGGCGCGCACATTTATGGGATTACCGTCTTGTCAAATGCATATTTTTACAATTATGTGCGGAACAAAGCTGCGAAAACTTATTCCCCGAGGGAAGTATTTCGCCCCAGCACAATTTCCTGTTCATCGAAATTCCTACACGGGCCAATTAAAATCCAGAATTTTAATAAAGGGTGGGACATGTTAGAGTGAACGTGACAATTAGCCAATCAGTGTGCGCTCGCGGCCCATCTCAGCTTCCTAGTTTGGTTGCAGTCGACCCATGTGGGTTCAATGTTGACTTGCGGCTTGAGAAAGTTGAAGAGTTAACGCTGCATAACTGTTGTCAGTTTTGAAACGCTGCTTGTTGCGTTTCGACATGTCTTCATCATTCTTTATAAAAACAAAAGAAAACCCCAAGTTTGCCAAGAAGGGGAAAAATACGGCGGGCACGAAGCGAAAGGTAGGTGAATTGAACTGTTAGCGGGTAAGCTAAACCATAGGGTTCACTCGTGGCTTCTTAACTGGTTTCCACTGTTGTTATAACGCTTTTATTTACGATTTTGTGGTAGATACATCGTATTTTTTCCCCCTCGCAGGGTGATGTGGATCCTACCGGAAAAGGCAAATTACGAGCAAAGAAATCGAGCTCGAAATATAATGAAGAGATTTCCAGCGACTCAGAGACGGAGAGGTGCGTTTTCAGTGGGGGTTAAACAATAATCACAAGCCTTTGGCCTCTAAATAAAAGCACGAGTCTTAATGATCTTTGTGATAATTTGATTTTTCCAGTGCCACAGCGCCAAAGAAAAGGCAGTCCACCGAGCAGATTGAGTATGAGGAGACTCCACAGGAAAAGAAGCTGAGATTAGCTAAACTTTACCTGGAGCAGCTCAAGGAAGAAGGTAAACTTGTGTCATTTACACAGGCACAACATTAAAATTCATTATTCCAGAATGAATGAAATGAATTCTTCTTATCTTCAGAGGAAAATAAAGCAGAAGAAGCCTCCTTTGAGACAGATCTAATTGCGGGAAGACTTCAAGAAGAAGTGGTAAGACATTTCCTATGTGAGCCCGTTTAAATGGTAGCTGTAGTACCAGGGTACCTTACATGACTTGGTTATTACACTGCCAGTTGCATGTGTTGAGCTATGTCTCTGTGTACTAACATTTACTCAGATTGTCCCCTCACAATGAAAATATCTTGTTGCCAACTCTACACCTAACATTACAAACTGTTGAGCCTGTTGGCCAGATGTTCCTTAGATCATGCTGTTGTGAACGCCATTCCTCCTGTCATTAATTGAGTTTTCACTTCTGGTCGATTTGCCCTTGCTCCTTTGTATGAATGGATCGCTCTATGCTGGGCAGTAACACAAGTCCTCCTGAATATGTAGCAGAAATGCGCTCAGTATTTTGTTTTTGTTTTAGTTTGTTTTTTTTACTTGAGGCAGACATTTGATGGTATCTGTGGGTCCTTATATTTTGGCAATAATTATTATGCTCTCAATTCCAAAAAGTTGATTCTGTTCATCTGGACGTAGTATTTTCAGTGGGAGCAACATTTTGTCACTCATCAAAGTGACTTCTTCTCATCAAAGTGACTTCTTCAGTCTCTGAAGACTGACATGACTTCTTCAGAAGTCACTTGGATGAGTGAATTGACAGTACTGAACAGGTTGATCAACATAGAGGTAGACTACACTTCAGAGTTTCAGAGGGGTTTGCTGTTATGACATTCCTATGGCATAGATTCAACTCAGATGTCTAAATCAAATCTTAATAAAGTTTTTTTTGTTCCCATGATTTTTTCAAAGTTTAGTACTTAGGCCACAGTTTAGTTTCAGTTTCATAAGACAATTTTCTCTAAATTAAATAATGACTGATGTAAAAATGCTGATGTGGTCTTCTGGGTTACAGTTCAGTAATTTTTAATAATTTGCAGCTTTACATCTTATGATCAGATGCAAGAAATATTTTGGTTGTACTTGCTCACATCAAAAACAGTATCTCATTGATACTGGGGGTTTTTTGTTTTTTTTATTTGGATTTACTGTACTTGATTTGCTGGACTTGTGTTTATAATATTGATATTTCTGTGGATGTGAGTTTATTTTATTTTTTCCTTCTCCCATCAGCTTGAACAGAGAGGAAAGCTCCAGCGGCTCATCGCCAAAGATGTAATTATCAGAATTTTCATCCTTTTAATCCCGCTGTGTGTCTAATAAGAAGTTTAATGTTATTTATTTCTGTGTGTTTTTTTGTTTGCTTGTTTTTAGCTCATACCACCAGATCCTTCAGAGATCAGGATGTTCAGAGGACACAAACTTCCAATTACGTGCCTGGTCATCACTCCAGATGACAAGTACATCTTTTCTGCTGCCAAAGACTGCTCCATCATTAAATGTTAGTGTATAGTTAATCCTTACAATTTTTTTTAAACTCCTGTCGTGAAAATAAATTCAAATTATTTCACAGTTGTGAAGGCTAATACTTTAATAATAATATGTTTGGAAATGTTCTTATTAGGGGATGTTGAGAGTGGTAAAAAAATACATACAATACCTGGTGGAAGGAAGGGTACAGAGGATCGCCATGTTGGACATACAGCCCACATCTTGTGTATGGCCATATCATCGGATGGCAAGTACTTGGTGAGTAGTTCTTCCTCAGCAATTCCTGCTTTTACCAATTTTGGGAATCCAGCTTATTCTACCTTTCTTACAAAAGTGTGACCATAACGTCTTTGTTTACATATTTCTAGGCCACTGGAGACATGAACAACCTGATCATGATTTGGGAGGCAGAATCGTGTAAACATTTGTATAAATTTACAGGACACAAAGGTGCTGTGTCGGTATGTTCTTGATGTTTTTTTTTTTGTTTTTCCCCCCTCACTAGTTGGCTACAATTTTGACATTTTAACATCTCAGCTGTGCGTAGGTGATACCTGCAGTTCTCTTATAACACAATCTTCTTTTTCCTTCACAGGGCCTTTCATTCAGGAAGGGGACTCATGATCTGTACAGCGCCTCTCATGACCGCTCAATCAAAGTGTGGAATGTGGATGAGAATGCATATGTAGAAACTCTGTGAGTGACCAATCAGAAAATAATTTCTCACATTCATTTGGCTCTAGTGTGTGAAATTAACTGTGACTGTAAATTTCTGTAGCTTTGGCCATCAGGACTCGATCACAGGACTGGACAGCCTGAGCCGTGAGCGCTGTGTGACTGCAGGAGGGCGGGACGGTACTGTACGGGTGTGGAAGATAGCTGAAGAGTCTCAGCTGGTGTTCCATGGCCATGAGTGAGTCTCTTGACTTCTGTGCATTGCTTGTTCTCACCAGTGTGCACAAATTCAGGTGCTTTGTCTGTTTGCTTGTTTTCTAAGATTCATATAAAAGCATTTAATAATTGCACAGAAATGTTCATAGTCTGCATTAAAAATATATGCAAAATTACCATCTGAAATAAGAGAACCTGAGAATGAAGCCAGAGTGTTTCCACAGGAGTGGTAATTGTTATTATTTATTTTTAAACAGAAAAAGCGATGCTTGGCTGGAATGACAAGTATGCTGAAGATTGCTTCCCCAAAGACAAACTAGCTCAAGTTAAAACTTGACTTTGTAGTTGGTGTGGGGGGGGAATCTAAGCAGAACGTAAGAAAGAGAAGACAGTGGATAGCAAGGCGCACCTCATCTGTTGGCTTCAGATGAGAAATTCATGGCAAATATTGAAAAAACCCCATATTCTTCAGCATATGCAATAAATAGTTAAAATAAGATAACTAGTATATATGAAAAATGTTAAAGTCTACACATTCTCATTTTTGTTCTTTATAGGCAATTTAATATTTTATAGTGTTGTATTTAATTCTAAATTTGAGCATTTTTGACCTATGGTCTTTTGGAATAGGGTAAATATTGACCAAAACAAGACGTAATATGGAAATATTGTGCTAATACACATGGTTTACACGCAGATTTGTTCACAAGCACTGTTTGTGAACCAATCACATTTTACTTTTTTGGCCTGAAAAAATAAATTAATAAATCTTAAAATTAGAAACCATTAGGAAATTATTTTTGGACGCTGCAAATGTCAGCTAAACCACTAGAAGAAAGAAGTGGCTCGGTGGTGTAGTCGTTAACACATTAACCTTACATGCAAAAGATCTTCAGTTCAAGACGGAGAGCAAACAAACCCAGAGTCATGCTACTCAGAGAGCCAGTCGCAGGCTTGGATAAATGTTGTGTCAGAAGGTATCTGGCTGTGCCAAATCATACACGCAGATCCCATCTGCTGTGGCAACCCCTAGGGAAATAAGGGAGCAACCAAAAATGGCCAAAAATCAGCACAATTTCTCATGGATGATCTTGCTCTTCTGCTGCTGGCACTATACTCTCATATAAAGTTTGAAAAAATATGAAAGAAATCAAATTAAGAGTATTGTTTGTTACTACCTTTTTGACTGCTGCATGGTTTTTATTGTCCCTCTACCATTAAACATGTCTGTTGGTTGATTTATATAAAATCTTTTGATATTAGATGTATTGGAGTAATTTTCATTCTGAAAATTTAACAGCACAGCTTGATTTTTTAAAATTTTTTTAATAGATGTACACATTCATAAATGCATATTTATTTATAGTCTAGTTTTCTTTAAGCATACAGTGAGACTGACAACTCTGATTTTGTTGTCTTTTATTAAGGGGTTCAATTGACTGTATCCAACTCATAAATGAGGAACACATGGTAACAGGAGCAGATGATGGGTAATAATTTGCTGCTATGTTGATTCAGTTTCTTTCTCTCCATTTTTATTTATTCGGTGTGTAATAGTGTGAACTAACTCATTCATATTTCCTGACAACCTCAGCTCTGTGTGTCTTTGGAGTGTCAACAAGAAGAAACCTCTCAGCACAGTGAAACGGGCCCACGGTTGCCATGGTGATGCAGGGATTGAGCAGCCTCATTGGGTCTCTTCAGTGGCGGCACTTCAGAACTCTGATACTATTGCCTCAGGTGCCTATAGCTGTGAGAAACCTCT